CAGGCGACGCAGGACGAGGCGCAGGCTCACGACGCTCAGCAAGACCTCCAGTAGGACCAATGTAGGGAGAAGGAGCAGGTAGGGGGGAGGCGGGCTGTAACTGTGACTGCGACTGGACAGGCGGTGGACACTCTAAGGGAGGAGAAGGACCAGTAGAAGGCGGAAGACCAAGAACCTGCTCAAGGAGCGGAACGAAGTACGGCCGCGGCCGCGCAGCGCCTCCAGAACCAGCAGGGACAGCACCAGTACCCCCAGCGGCAGCACCAGCGCCAGCAGCACATCCAGCTCCAACAGCGCCAACTCCAGCACCCTCAGACGCACCAGCGCCAGCAGAAACACCAGCGCCAACACCCCCAGCAGCTCCAGCTCCAGCAGCTCCAGCAGCACCAACTCCAGCAGGACCGGCAGCTCCAGTACCGCCAGCAGCTCCAGTAGGACCAACTCCAGCAGCCCCAGCAACACCCCCAGTCCCAGCAGCTCCAGTAGGCGAATCGTTTTTTGGGTTTCGAGGCGGATCGGGCAGTTTCCAGGTTGGCGCGAAGCGCGGCCACGCGTGACGTCATCTGCTCCACGTCGCGCCGCGGGACCGACGGCGCGAAGTGCGCTACTAGATCTTCCACCGCGCGCAGCGCTGCCACCGCCGCTTGATCCGCGTTCAATCCGGACCGTTGATTGCTTCCTGCATCGTCCACCTGTTGTCTACTTTCCCCGCCATTGATCCCCGACTGAGCAGATTCGGCAACGGAACCGGAATCCTTGGAACTTAAAGCCCGGATCGCGGCTTCCAGCGCGTCGCATTTCTCGCGAAAGGCTAGGAAGACGGAGAGCTGGCCTTGCTCGTCGTCCATGTGCGCGTGCGTGACGTGGCGGGCACAAGGCTGAAAATATTTCGTCGGTCGTAAAAGCAGGAAAAAATCGAGACAAGCCCGGGGCGCAGAAGCAACAGTCAAATGGTGCGACGCGAATGACGGAACGGCTTGATTGGACGAACGAGCAACCAGCAGTAAAATGAGCAGAGGTCCCCTCAGGCAGAGCCTAGGAAAGGTCTGATGTATGAGCGGTCTGAAACGGTTGGGTAAGGTTTTGAGCGAAAAAGAACAACCTTGATCTGAGTGTCACCCAAAGCGAAGCTCCGACACGAGAGGCCGCGTTGCAATATCGAAACACCAAACTCTGGAAAACCACCATACATTTCACAAGCTACCAATTCTTATCATTCGCTCTCAGACTCGTGTGCTCGAGCCCATCTCCCCAAGCCCGTCAGCTCAACCTCATTCGCTCTCAGCAGACTCGTGTGCTCGAGCCCATCTCCCCAAGCCCGTCAGCTCAACCTGATTCGCTCTCAGACTCTGCTCTACCATTTTTGGGCCAGGTTTGGGACAGAAACATTTTGGTGATGATGAAGCTACCGTATCATGGAAATGCATGAGTATTGCATTTTGATGTTAGCTTGTGTTGTTAAAACCGGGGTGCACATTCAGCTGAATGTGCATCAAAGGTTATCCCTTGACTGAGTGGGTTACGAGGTGTGCTTTCAACCCCTTCAAGTCGAAATTCGTTTCCCCTCGCCCCCGCAATTTCATTTCCCCCCCCCCGTCGAAATTCGTTTCCCCCCTCCCCCGCAATTTTGTTTCCCCCCTCCCCCGCAATTTCGTTTCCCCACCCTCCCGCCAATCTGTTTCATCCCTCCCGCCATTCGGTTTCACCCACTCCCGCCATTTCACCCCCTCCCGCCACCTACGAAATGCCCGAAGCTCTAGCGGAATCATTTTTTTGTCGCCCCTCGTGAGCCAATCACTGTTTTTCTCCAAACCCCCTTCCCAACATCTCAAGCCGAACCGCGTTGAATGTGCACCCTGGTTTTAAAGCGACGGTGCACATTTGCCACCCAAAACCCAGAACCCTGGCGAACTGTTACTGCGGATGGAAAGTGTCCGCACGAAATCCTGGTTTTCGCCAGCCAGCACTTTCGCGCTGGCAAGCCTGGTTCAAAAAAAAAACTTCTGAACCCAACACTGCCAGAAGTTGCCCGTCGCTTTAAAGAGAACTTCCATCAGTTACAATGTTACAATGGTTTACACACAACAGCGATGTGAACAAAGCATGATCCGGTAGATATACGCATTTGCGAGACAGACCGCTCACTAGTCACCACAGAGACTACTTCCACAAGCAACGCAGGGGTCTCTTCTCAACACAAAACCCTAGATCTAAACAGATGTGATGAACACCGCCGCTGCCCCCACTCATGCCATGAGCTGGAACCTTTCAAGGTTTCAGCTGATAGTAGAACCTTTTAAACCAAAAACCGAGGGTACTTCCACCTGAGAATGGCATAAACGTTGTGGGCCAGTCAGGATGTGACGGAAAAGGCGAGGGTTAGTAACCAGATTGTGATGCCATGGCCAGTGAGAAGATGTGATAGCATCAGGGCCGAAAACAGGAAAAATGATGAGGTATTGAATTGTGACAGTCTGTGACACAAAAGAATCAACTAGATTGCTTTTTGAGACATTGGCATGATGTGACAACATGATGTGGCAACATGATGTGGCAACATGATGTGGCACACGATGCAGGGCAAGTAGGAAGTAGTCGTCAACATGCCATCATTAAGCCATCATTAGTGTCCCGTGGGTGGCAGCGTACTTACTATCAGGGGCTCGTTTGCAATCTTTGTCATAGTAATTGTGCGTCGGCGCGTCGCATAAGGAGAAGTTGGTCTTGCAATACTGGGATAGAAACGTATCTTGGCCCTTCCTCACATCAGCACACAAATATTTACCTGCGGCCCACTCGAAAGAACGACAAAATTCGGGGATTCGGGGTAGTTTTTTAGTCAGCAGCAACAACACACAGCCTTGCAGATATACGAAATCTCCCAACTGCGACTGATTGGCAGGCATAGCGAACGCCGTGATGCGGAAGAATTCAGGATACATTACTAGATGAGGGAAAAGGAGGAGGGGGGAACTTACCATCCGAAGTTCGCTCCACCTGCTGGGCAACCGCTTTCGAAGCATACGCTGAGAGAACGAGGGCAACGGCTAGCAGGAGAGAGAGAGCCGCAATTCCGCTTAGACGCGCCATTCTCAGGAAAAGAGGTACTATTTGGTAGTCGTGGTAGCTCTAGTGATCTAGTTGAATCAGACTTGGAGAGGCGAAGATAGAAGGCGTGCTTACCATCAACGAATATGACTGTTTAAAACAAAACTGAAGGGCGAGGATAGTACATGGCAGATAGCCGAGGCCAAATCGGAGGGATGGTTGCGCCACGGCTTTAGGAAATCTGATTGGTTGTGGATCGCGATAGGCAACGTAGGACTAATGAACAAGTAGGTTCCGCGGTGCATGGCGGATAAACTGGGGCCGAATCGGATGGGCGTTTGTGCTACGGCTTTAGAGAATGCCATTGGTCGTGGATCGCGATGACTAAGAGCAGGACGAATGAACGAGTAGATTTCGTGATGACTGAGTAGGACCAATGAACGAATAGTTTCTGCGGTCCACTACGGAGCTTTGCGGCAGAAACGAGATACAGAGGGCCTTGCGAGGTCAATCAGTTTGAATTCATTCGGAGCTCGCGTTCTCAGGGCGGGTCGCACGAGTTCGTTTACAGCTCATGTGGACATTGGTAACCCTGTTTTTGCTTTTGTAGCCCTTCATACTGGACTACAAAAGACATGCGTCTTCAATGGCGCGCGACATTGACGCGCTGAATGCGTCAAAAGGTTCGTATTAAAAACGTTCAAGAACAGTTTCCAAGGTACGTACCATCACTTCGAATAGGTCCGCGTAACCCTAATTTCCAATCTCAAAATTCGCCCAGAAAAGGCGAACGGCCAATTTTGACACAGTCGATTCGCAACTGCCCGGGTTACCGTTCGCGAACCATGGCGAATGTGATCGGGATACGAGTTTTTTTGTGAGCGGAGTGCCTAGTCCATCTAGTGCAACTTCGTTCGGCGCAGTGCTGACGCGCTGCGTTATTTTTTCGTCATAGTGTACACTACGCTGCCTTGTCAAAGTTACGTAACAATTTAGTTTTTTCCCCCAAATGAACTCGTGGGACACGCCCTCAGTCCCAATCCAGCAGCTGGTTCAGATCAGGTAACTCAAGCATTTCGTTGGCGTGCACTGACCCGAAGCTGTGAAGTTGCCCAACACTGCTAGAGGACACTTCTGTACTCCAATCACATGAAACGAATATCCGCGTCTGAAATGTGATGGTTACGAAATTCGCGACAATGAACGAAAACCCCGGTGCTGAGTCTTGAATACGCCCCAGAGCTGAACGTGTCACACATTGAAAATCGCGTTCCCCGTCAGATGCGGCGGCTGAACTGAAATTGACCCGTTATCAAGATTTCAGGAACTGCACAGCTTCCTAGGTAAAAAGACACAGAGCACCTGATCCAGATCCCAAAAATCCAGGTAAAACAAGTGATTGAGAACAGGTTAGTCATGATACCCTGATGAATGTATGGTCTGAGATTCAATGATACAGATACGAACATCTTTCAATGGAATACAGGCCTCACAAAGACACACATACTGTATGAAAATCTAGGACATGTACAAGCCAATTCATTCATTAGGTAACAAAACAACCAGAACTTGGTAAACTGCCTGCCAATATTGTGGTATGAACTTCCATGCAGAGAAACTATTCTATGGATTAGTCATGCTGTGACTTTCCGACAAGCTAAGCTTCACACCGGCCAGTTGCACTGCCATAATGAACAAAAAGGGAAACGTTCAAGGCAGGCCTATGGCAACAGCAGAGGGCGAGGTGCAGGGAGAGCAGCTTTGGATGATCTCGGAGGGCAGATGCGATGGCAGCAATGGCACTCGTTTGAGTCGACTCAAAGGAAACCTCTAAGGAAGGCCTTTAGCAACGGCGGTGAGGGCGAGGTGCAGTGAGAGCAACACTGGATGGTTTTGAAGGGTAGATGCGATGGCAGCAGTGACACTCGTTTGAGTCGACTCAAAGGAAGCTTCTAAGGAAGGCCTTTGGCAAAGGCGGTGAGGGCGAGGTGCAGTGAGAGCAACACTGGATGGTCTCGGAGGGCAGATGCGATGGCAGCAGTGGCGGCCCGGAGAGAGGCTGCGAAGGCCGTGTGCATGGCGCTGGTGGGATGGTGGGATGGGAAGAGGGTGAGTTGGGGAGAGCAGGGAGATGGGGAGATGGGGAGATGGGGAGATGGGAAGATGGTAAAATGGTGAGAGCAGGAGACAAGATGGAGAGAGGCGGGGATATGTTAATTGCAAAGTCAGTGTCTCCTTTGATTCAAACCCCTCTCCAATTTTGAGGCGTCTCAAAAGTGTCTCCGTCAAACCCCTATTCAATTCCCCCTCTTTACCCCCCTTCCCCTCCTTCCCCAACCCACCTCATCTCTTCAACAAACCCTTCCCGCTCCAAACCCCGCTGTAGCTCCTCCACCGCTAACTGCCGACGGAATGCCGCCCGCGCCGCCTGTCCCTTGGCATCTGACGTGGCATCACCGTAGGCATAATCAGCCAGCTCGCCTCCACTGGTTCTACCCTCCGACCCATAACCCCCCCTTCCTCCTCCCCATCCTCCTCCTCCTGCTGATGATGATGAAGATGACGAATCAAGGCCCGGGAGAGAGGAGGCTGTGTGGATGGTGGTGCTGACTGTGGTGGCGAAGCGAAGAGAGATGGAGAGGAGGGCAGATAGTTTCTGCAGGCAGATGGGTGAGATGGGAAGGAGATGGAAGGAGAATCGGGGGAGAAAGTCGGGAAAGCCATTTGGCAGTTGAGTGGGCAAACTACATTTCATAAAGAAAAGCCGTGACCTTGTGCAGGCCCAATACAGGAAAGGAGAGAGGTACTTCTAGAAAGGAAAGATGACCCGGACCAGCCCCAGTACAAAATGAGTCAAGCTGGTTATCAAGAATTCTCAAAAGCCATGCCCTTCCAGAAAGGAAGGACGACCTGGTCCAAGGGCATCTCAAAATCACAGAAAGAACAATGGAGGTTGCTTTTTGTGGGACTCTCAACAGGAGCAATGGCGGGATGGCAGAAAAATGGCCTAGCGACAACACCGTGCAGTGATAGGCCGTACAAAAAAGAGACGGCAGTGATAAGCTACTAATTAAGTAATCAACACGGTTTTGCGACGCCTCAAAACACTTCACGAGCCCGAGTGAGAATGGCACGTGCAGGAACTCACCACGCTGCAGTGCGTACTGCGTGAGCAACGGGATTACCACACAGCGAGGCAGGCGCTTCACATCTAGTGAGCGTGAACGAGGTTTACAGCAAGGCCAGTACGCGCCATGACCCATGCTGCTACTCAGCTTTAGAGTAGCACTAACACCATGCAGGCAGGCAGGCGGGCGCTACAGACCTAATGAACGTAAGCGAGGTTTACAGCAAGGCCAGTACGCGCCATGACCCATGCTGCTACTCAGCTTTAGAGTAGCACTAACACCATGCAGGCAGGCAGGCGGGCGCTACAGACCTAATGAACGTAAGCGAGGTTTACAGCAAGGCCAGTACGCGCCATGGCCCACGCTCCTACTCAGCTTTAGAGTAGCACTAACACCATGCAGGCAGGCAGGCGGGCGCTATAGACCTAATGATCGTAAGCGAGGTTTACAGCAAGGCCAGTACGCGCCATGGCCCACGCTCCTACTCAGTTTTAGAGTAGCACTAACACCATGCAGGCAGGCAGGCGGGCGCTATAGACCTAATGATCGTAAGCGAGGTTTACAGCAAGGCCAGTACGCGCCATGGCCCACGCTCCTACTCAGTTTTAGAGTAGCACTAACACCATGCAGGCAGGCAGGCGGGCGCTACAGACCTAATGATCGTGGGCGCTACAGACCTAATGATCGTAAGCGAGGTTTACAGCAAGGCCAGTACGTGCCATGGCCCACGCTCCTACTCAGCTTTAGAGTAGCACTAACACCATGCAGGCAGGCAGGCGGGCGTTACACACCTCACGAATGTGCGGGCAGGAATCCAGAAGCCCCTCTGAGAGACACGTGTCAAGAAATGATTGGTGCTCCAGCACAATCTGTACGGGCGGGCAAACAGTAATATAAAAGAAAGGAGTATTGATTATAATAATATATTTATTTTACCAGAAACAAAAACGCTGGTCAGTGCGATTTAAAAGACCAAGGCGGAAAGCATGAGGACGGATTGGTGGTGTGGGCGAACCGTGAAGATGAAGTGATGGAGTCGGGAGATGCGGATTCGCTCATGTGCTCAGGCATGCGGTCATGCGCTCATGTGCTCAGGCATGCGGTCATGCGCTCATGTGCTCAGGCATGCGGTCATGCGCTCATGTGCTCAGGCATGCGGTCATGCGCTCATGTGCTCAGGCATGCGGTCATGCGCTCATGTGCTCAGGCATGCGGTCATGCGCTCATGTGCTCAGGCATGCGGTCATGCGCTCATGTGCTCAGGCATGCGGTCATGCGCTCATGTGCTCAGGCATGCGGTCATGCGCTCATGTGCTCAGGCATGCGGTCATGCGCTCATGTGCTCAGGCATGCGGTCATGCGCTCATGTGCTCAGGCATGCGGTCATGCGCTCATGTGCTCCTGTGCTCATATGCTCCTGTGCTCATGCACTCACGTGCGCATGTGCGCATGTTCACATGTGCTCCTGTGCTCATGCCCTCACGTGCTCATGCATGTGCTCATGAGTGACGAAGCGATGGAGGGCGGAGGAGACTCAGTCACCTGGTGGAAGGAGGTAGCCTTGGTCAATCTTGATGTCATGAGGTCGAAATTGGGGCTTATCACCTGTTGTGGCCCGGACAGGGGGGAAATGGGACGGAGGCAGAGGATGACTGGTGTAAGGGGAAGGGAAGGAAGAAAGGGAAGGAGGTAGCCTTGGTCAATCTGGTTGTCATGAGGTCGAACTTGGGGCTTATCACCTGCAGGCATTATGAGCGGAGGAGAGGAGGGTGGGGGGACAGAGTGGTGAAGAGGGAAGCGGGAGGGGAGGGGTGTGGTGATAGCGGGAAGTGAGGGGAGGGAACGGGAGCGGAGGGGAGGGGAGGGAGGAGAGGGGAAGAGGGACGATGTCATGTGTTTGAAAATAGGGCTGATCACTTAAGGTTGGTGGGAGGGGAGGGAGGTTCGGATGAAGAAAATGAGGGCATAGGAATCAATGGGAAGAGGTAAGGCTAGGGGAAAGGAAGGGGCACACAGGAGAGAGTAAGTGAAAAACATAAAGAACACAGTATGGGTATGGGACGAAGTCAGGTCATGCATAAGTGGTTTGAGAGTGCCTTTGAGAGTGCATTTGATATTCAAACCAGGAAAACATGTACGCACGCACGCACACATGCACACACTCACACATGCACCCACCATATGTGCCACACTGCCGAACATAGCAATGGCAGCACACGCCATGCGATGCCGCAGCCAGGATGGAAAGCCATGCACGCACACCCACACACCTCCCTTCTCCCCATCGTCCCCACACACACGCACCGCATATGCAACGTGGTCGAGATGGCAGTGACAGCACATGCCATGCAATGCCGCAGCCAGTGCACCCATGTACCCATGCAGACATGTATACTCACTGCGTATGCAACATGGTCAAGGATGGCAGTGACAGCACACGCCATGCGATGCCGCAGCCAGTGCACGCGCTGCAGCATTGTCCCCTCCACCTTCAGTCCCCGTGTCAGCTGCGAGTGGGAGTGAAGTGTGTATTGGGGACCCAGATTCGCCTCAAGAATGCACCCAGATTGGAAGGAGAACGAGAAAAGGTCAAAGGATGGGAGGTGTGGGTGAGGTGACGAAGGCGAGAATAACAAGTACAATACAGATGAAATCAACAACGGAAATACAAGATAATGGTAAGTGGGCATTCAGGGACTTAAGCACCAACATTCGCAGCAGTGGCGGTGGCGGCGCCAGCAGCAGCAGAGAAGCATGCTTCTAGCGCAGCTGATGCGAATGACGATGCGAGGCAGAGACCTAGACGTAGCTAGGTTCAACGTGCATGTGTGGCTTTATTCTAAGCACTCCACTCCACCACTGGAAGAAGCATGCACTGCATGCGCGCATCACCAGAACCGATCATCAACCCCGCGGGTCTACCTGCAGGGCAGACCATGCGAGTGCGAGGTGCAGGTGGGTGCGCCTGGCGGCGAGGAGAAAGCGGAAGAGACGGTTGTAACCGTGCAGGGCGGATGGGGGCACCACCGCGGATACTGGCCAAGGGGCCTGCAGTAAAGGGGAGTAACAGGTGGCTTAAGGACAGGGGGATGGGATGCTGGGATGAGGCAAGCAGGAAGCGGAAGAGACGGTTGTAACCCTGCAGGGCGGATGGGGGCACCACCGCGGATACTGGCCAAGGGGCCTGCAGTAAAGGGGAGTAACAGGTGGCTTAAGGACAGGGGGATGGGATGCTGGGATGAGGCAAGCAGGAAGCGGAAGAGACGGTTGTAACCCTGCAGGGCGGATGGGGGCACCACTGCGGATACTGACCAAGGGGCCTGCAGTGTGTAGGGAAGGAAGAAGAGGTGGGAAACGCGTGGGTGACAGATGATGAGTGGTACCACCACCATGGACACTACTGGCCAGCGCGCCTGCAGTGAATGGGGAAGGAAAAGCTCGTAGGTCGGTAACAGGTGAGGTTAACGGGTGAGATGCGGACAGAGGAAGGGAAGGGGAGTGAGGAGAGCAGGAAGCAGAAGCTGCGGTTGGCGGCGAGCAGGGAGGACGCGGGCAGCACAGCACCATTGGTACAGCTGGCAGTTGATTATGAGAAGTCTCTAAAATCAACCTCCAACCTTAACACCATCTTTGTCGATGGTGTTGATTCTGAGCAGGCGGGTGCGCCAAGCGTACCACTCGCGCAGCTGCTGTGGTGAGAGAGGCTCCCGTAGTGTAGACTGCTGGGGCGAGGCGCCAGTGGGACCTCCAGGACAAGTAGCTCCAGCACCCCCAGTACCTCCAGTACCAGTACCTCCAGCACCTCCAAAACTAGCAGCTCCAGGGCCTCCAGCTCCAGCAGCGCCACTCCAAAGGCGGGTGCGCCGAGTGTACCACTCGCGCAGCTGCTGTGGTGAGAGAGGCACCCGTAGTGTAGACGCAGTACCCCTAAGCTCACCACCCCCAGACTCGGCATCCCCAGGCTCCGCACCCGCAAGCGTCCACAGGCTCCGCACGCTCAGACGCAGCACCCCCAGGCTCCGCACCCGCAGGCTCAGCACCCCCAGGCTCCGCACGCTCAGGCTCAGCACCCCCGGGCTCCGCACTCGCAGGCTCAGCACCTCCAGGCTCCACACGCTCAGGCTCCGCAACCGCAGGATCAGCACCCCCAGACACAGCACCCCGAGCAGCACCAGAGTCACCAGTGACCTCAACATGCTCAACCAAGGGGAGTGGGTCTACCTGAGACACACCTGAAGGAGCAGGACCCTGAGGGGGGAGGGGGTCTATCGGAGGGGGACCTGGAGCGAGGAAGAGCGGCGGGGGGGGGGGGGAGAGGGGCAGTGCGGTAGGGGAAGAGACGGTAAAAGGGAACCGACTCGTCAAGCGTGACGTCCTGAGAGGGCATGACACGGCGCGAGGTGGGGTGGTAAAACTGCCAGCTAGGCGCGTCAGGGGGAAAGCCAAGGAAGACGTAGGGAATGGCGCACGAGGAAAGCTTGTCTGCGGAGGTATTGCGGACAAAGGCACGACAGCCCCAGACCCGGAACACCGACGCATCGCCAACCTCTCCCGTCCAACGCAGTGTAGGCGAGGTCTTCGGCAAGGAGACAAGGAATACCGGACCACAAACGACCACTGAAAATGGGGAGCAGCCGCATGGATCATGGAGGTACGAGCGACCTTTATGACTAAGCCAATGCGGCGCTCAGCAACCCCATTCTACTGCAGAGAGGCCGGAAGCGTGAACGACTGCAAGATGCTCTCTCCACGACAATAGTCCCGCAAGAGGTCGGAGGAAAACTCACCACCTCTGTCAGAGTGCAGACGCAGGACAGGAAGGTCCGTGTCGAACCGCTCGCGGAGCTGGAGACGGACAGCGCGGATCCAAGGAATCAAGACATCAGAGGCCTCCCCCTTGCTGCGCAAGGGACCCCTTGTGTAACGCGAGTAGTCGTCAACAAGCAGCAGAAAGTATCGCTCGCGGCCCTGTCCCTGGACGCGGGCTGGGCCCCACACGTCCATGTGGAGAGTCTGCAGGGGAGCAGTCGTTGGGGGAAACGAGGAGGAGTGAGGAGCGGCGCGCTGCCGCCCCTCGTCCAGAGACAAGGAGGGGCTGGCGAGGGTGGGAGGGGAGGCAGGGACCGGGGAAGACCAGAGACAAGGAGGCGGGAGTGCATGCCAGAGAGGCGTGGCAGGGAGGGGTGACCAAGGCGGTGGTGCCAAAGGAGAGTCTGGTGCGACAGGAGGCGACACGAACAGGGGGCTGCTAGCTGACCTGACGGAGACGCAGACGCAGCTACCTGAGGAGGCTCAGTAGTCAGTGTGTACAGACTCGACCCAGGCCGATGGGTGAACGTGGCCAGGTGACGGCCCGTCCGTGCACACGTGTAGATCGCCACACAATGTCCTCCAGGGGTAAAGGTATCAACCCAAGCACCCTGAAGGACGGCGTTACTCACCAAGTTCGTAGAGAATGAGGGGAGGTGAAGACCTGACAGTGTGCCATACGGAACTGCCGGACACGGGAGAACAGTGGAGAAACATGCAAGAACCGGTCCCCCAGAGGGGTCAGCCAGAGAGACAGCAACCAATGCTGTGAGTGGTGTGACTGTGGTGCTGTCGCGAAAGAAGCAACGGGAAGCACCTGAGTCAAGCGTGAAGGTGTGCAAGGCCTCAGCACGCGCAGTACCAGAGAGAGCAGACTCACCAGCACCTAGAGCAGCAGCCTCTATACGAGGGTCGGGCGGCACACACGGGTAACAGTCACCCTCAGTACCACTAGTCAAAGTATACATGGCAGTGAGGATATCGTCATAGTCTAGAGCAAAGATATCCACACCCTGCCTAAGCAGCTCTAGCCAGCGGGGGAGCTTAGCCGCGTCGCCAAACTCTGCGCGCCAGGTGTCGCTCAGACAGGAGAAGCAGCGGGACTGTATGTGACCAACTGTCCCGCAAGTCTGACCAGCCCGATCACTTATGCGGATGATGTACGCGCAGCGAGCACTACTCCGAGACGCCCCACGCTGAGCGTACCACTCACGAAGCTGCTGGGGCATAAGGGTCTCGCGCGGACGCCGTTGCAGCTGCACCAGGCCACCGCCAGAAACTCCCAACTGAATAGCTGCACAGTGACTGCCACTACTGCCACCGCCACCACTCCTACTAGCGTACCACTCACGAAGCTGCTGGTACGGAAGGGTCTCGCGCGGACGCCGTTGCAGCCGCATCTGGCCTCCACCAGAAACTCCCCACCGAACAGCTCCACAACGACTGCTACTACGGCTGCCGCCATTCCCACTGCTGCCACCACCGTCGCCACCACTCCCACCGCTACCACGAAGAGAACTCATAGCGGGCAAAGCAAGGAGGCGTGCGACCAGCAGGGCAGTACTGTGAGGATCTAGGATCGAGCTCAGAAAAGAGAATGAGAATTGAGTCGAATTGAATGATCACCTGGGTACAACACGAGGCTATATATAGGCTCGACACAAGGCCCCGTAACCAGGTGTTACGCGAAGGTTCCGCGGGCCGCGTAGCGTCCCGAACAGATCCTTACCGAATTCGGTAGAAGGCAATTCGGTGGCAACCGAAAAGGCCAGAATTCGGTGCACGCAACCTAGCTCGGTGCTATAACTATAATAAAATATAGGAAAGCACCTAGCCTAGGAAATCAAGCAATTCATGCATGCATATGATTATCCTATGCTAGAAATAGCATGATAAAGTAAAGGCAAGCAAGCATAGCTGGCATAAGCCGTCGTACTCTCACACGTCCCCCCCTCAAAGCTGGGTGGCGTGAGATACACCCTGCTTGACAAGATAGTCCTTGAGAGCACGGCGTGCGTTGCCCATATCAGCTTCTGCAACCCAACTGTCCTCAGTGGGGTCGTATCCCTTCCAGCGTATCAGGAACTCGAGGGTCTTGCCGCCGCGGCGCCGATGAGAGAGAACGCGCTCAATCTCGTACTCGGGTTCATCCTGCACAAGAACAGGTGGAGGTGGCGGTAGCTGCCGTCCCTGGAACTGTTGGTTGGGGTCCTTGTAGGGTTTCAGTAGCTGCACATGGAAAGCATTGTGAAGCTTCCAAGTAGTAGGTAAGCGCAAGCGGAATGTAACTGGTGTCACCTGTGCCTCAACGAGAAAAGGACCACAGAAGCGAGGCCGGAGTTTGGATGGGAGGTGAGACAGGTTCAAGTTGTGTGTGTCAAGAAGCACCTGATCTCCGACTGCTACTGAGTGATCATGTCGCTGACGATCGGCATACTGCTTCTGGGAGGTCTGCATCGTGGTGAGTCGTCGCTGAGTCTTCTCCCATAGCTGCTGCATGGTGGTGACGAAGTCATGTGCGGCTTGGCCGTGTGCCGGTGTGGTTGGCTGCTGTGGTGTGAGTGGCTCCCGTCCGTAACACAGGAAGAAAGGAGTTTTCCCTGTGGCCGCATGTGAGGCGTTGTTGTAAGCGAACTCTAGGGTCGGTAACTGTGTGTCCCAGTGGCTGACGTCGTCCTTGCAAGCTGTGCGCAGTAACTGTTCAACCACTTGATTGAGTCGCTCTGTCTGTCCGTCAGTCTGGGGGTGGTATGCTAAAGACATTGCAAGCTTTGTCCCCAACAGTCCCATGAGCTCCTTCCAGAACTTACTGGTGAATTTTGGGTCTCTGTCTGAGATTAGTGTAGCGGGGATGCCGTGGATGGTGATGATGCGGTCGAAGAAGAGGCGAGCAGTTGCTTCAGCTGTAGCTGTGGCGTTGGTCGGTATGAAGTGACCCATTTTGGAGAACTTATCGATGACTACGAGGATGGAATCGTGCCCCCATGAGGTCGAAGGAAGTCCTGTGATAAAGTCGATGCTAACGACCTGCCATGGCTGCTCCGGTACGGGTAGAGGCTGAAGTAACCCTGCTTTTTTCTGCTTGCTGCTCTTCATCCGCTGGCACGTGTCGCATGAGGTGACGAACTGCTGCACGTCTGCTGCCATCCCGGGCCAGTAGTAATACTTCGCTATCCCTGCTAACGTCTTGTTGCTCCCGAAATGTCCCGCGTAAGGTACGTCGTGAAATTCCTCCAATAGGATCTGCCGTAGCGGGGCGTAATTCGGTACCCAAATCTTTCCTGAACCCTTCCTTACCGCTAGGTCTTTCTCCCACTGTAACAACTTCTGGTTCTGTGCTGTAGTGATTTCTGCGTCCACGGAGTACCCATGTTGGAATAGACCCTTGAGCAGAGGGTTCATCCCGTCGAGCTGGATGCCTGCTACATGTCCGGGGCGGCTCAATGCGTCTGCTTTGTTGTGTAGCCCGGGCTTGTAGACGATGTCGTAGTGGAAGTGAGTTTCCAGGAAGTCCACCCACCGCACCTGTCGTCGTGAGAGCGTCGGCTGCGACTTCAGGTATTTGAGACTGCAGTGGTCAGTATAGACTGTAGTCTTGGCTCCCTCTAGGTAACACCTCCACGCCTTGAAGGCTATGACTATCGCTAAGGCTTCCTTGTCATGGATGGGGTAGTTCAGTTCTGCTCCGTGTAGCTTCTTACTGAGGTAGGCGATGGGCTGTAAACCGCGTCCGTGATCCTGCATCAGTACTGCTCCGA